ATGGGAAAAGATATTTGCTGAATTTACATCTGACAAGGGGTTGATATCAAAGATATACACAGTACTGGTTGAACTCCACAAGAAAACAACACCCAACCCCATAAAAATGGGGCAAAGAAATGAACAGAAACTTTCTCAAAGAAGAAATCTGAATGGCTAAAAGGCATATGAGAAAATGCTCTACATCATTAATCATCAGGGAGATGCAGATCAAAATAACAATGAGATATCATCTCACACCACAGAGACTGGCACACATCCAAAACAACAAAAGTAACTGGTATTGGCACAGATGTGGTGAGAAAGGGTCCCTCCTTCTCTGTTGGTGGGAATGCCGATTGGTTCAGCCCTTTTGGAAAACAGTAAGGACGATTCTCAAGAAATTAAACATTGAGCTCCCATTTGACCCAGCAATACCACTTCTGGGAATATACCCCAAAGAGGCAAAAAAAGGTAAAGTCAAAGTGACATCTGCACTAGTTTGTTCATTGCAGCACTGTTTACAATAGCTAGAATCTGGAAAAAAAAAAACCTGAGTGCCCGAGAAAAGATGACTGGTTAAAGAATCTTTGTTATATCTACACAGTAGAGTACTTTGTAGCTGTTAGAAAGGATGAAGTAATGAAATTTACGTACAAGTGGTACTACATGGAAAGTATCATGCTGAGCGAAATTAGTTAGAAAGAGAGGGACAGGCATAGAATGACTGTATTCTTCTGTGGAACATAAAGTAACAAAATAGGAGACTAACACCCAAGAATAGCCGAGATAAATACCAGGAGGTTTACTCCATGGCTTGGAGGCCAGACTCACACTCTAGGGGTAAAGGCAGTTCAAATAGAGAAGGAAGCACCAAACAAAGGGTGTTGGGAAGATCCTCCCAGGATCGAAGATGCATGCTAAAAGCATAATACAGACCGAACATGATTGCCACTCAATTCCTCTTTTTGCAAACCACAGCACCCAAAATGAGAGGAGAACAAAAGCTAATTCCCTGCCATAGAGGCAAGGTGGGATGGGGGGATAGGAGGTGGGAGGGATACTGGGATTAGTGGTAATGGAGATTGGGCACTGGTGGAGGGATGGGTACTCAATCATTGTATAACTGAAACCCAAGCACAAAAATTTGTAAGTCTACAACTCTACCTCTTGGTGTCTCACTAATAAAAATTTAGGAAACACTTTTGTACTCTGTAAGCATATTACTCAGAGTTGAATAAGGTGAAATAAATTATCATCCAAACAGTAGCTGAAGAAATATTTAATATCTAAACCAGGTATATTAGATATATTTAGTGGTATTATATAAAAATGCGTAAGCAACAAACTCCACATAGACTCAAAACAACAAATCCGTTTATTCCAATAATTTCTCTAAACATCAATTGAATATTGCCATGAACAAGACTTAAAGAGCCTGAATGGATAAGGATAGAAGGCAATCTTCTGTTGCTTATAAAAGACAACTTCATAATAAGCACAAGTTCAGAGTGAACATGTAGAAAACAGTCATGCAGGCAAAGGTAGACTAAAAAAAATCATATGTAGCATTTTTTGTATCAGTACAAATAACATTCAAGCTAGAGGAAATAAGATATTAAAAACATACTTTGCATACTGTTTAAGGAATGAGAGATCTTGAAGGTTTAACAGTTTTCAACACTGTAGCACTGTAGCACTGTCCCCCATTGTTCATCGATTTGCTCAAGCAGCACCAGTACCGTCTCCATTGTGAGATTTGTTACTGTTTTTCGCATATAAGATACGTCACAGATAGATTGCCAGGCTTTGCCATGCAGGCAGGATACTCTCAGCAGCTTTCCGGGCTCTCCAAGAGGGGCGGAGGAATCTAACCTGGGTTGGCCCAGGTTGGCCTCGTGCAAGGCCAACACCCTACCTACTGTTTATCTCTCCAGCCCACTTTTCAACACATACGTACTAAAATAAGTGGTGGGAGCAGTTTATAAAGCAACTGCTAAAAGGCACGAGGATACATATCAATGGACTTATAATAGCAGTGGGAAACCTTAATAACCCAATCTTGCCATTGGACAGTTCACCAAAAGTGATTATCAGAAAAGAAATAAGAATGCTAAATGAGGAATTGGGGAAAATTGGAACTGATTTATTTTTACAGGATCCTTCAGTTGCAAAAAGTCAAATACATATTCTTTTCCATTTTGAACACTGAACATTCTGCAAAATATATGACATGCTGGATACAATTCAAGTATCCATAAATTCCTGAAAAAAAGAAATTGTATCAAATATGTTTTCTGATGTGATGCTATGAATGGAGAAATTAATCATAGCCCCCCAAATGTGTGGAAAGTTCCAACATTTTGAAACTGAACAATAGACTTTTAAATAACAAGTGAGTCAAGAGATAAATCTATGAAAAATGAAAAAAGATTCTTTAAAATGAATGTGAATGAAAACACAAAATGTTAGAACATATGGGATACAGCTAGGGATTCAGCTAAAATAGAACCAAGTTCGTAGAAATGTAGGCATACAGCAGGAAAGAGTTAAATGTTCAAATTTACTACTTTACAAAATGTAGAGAAACAAGAAAAAGAACAACAAATGAACCCAAAATTAAATAGAAGGATGAAAATCATTAAAACAACTTTTTAATGACAAAAATCAAGAAAACAATGCAAATGGTTAATGAAATCAAGATCTTGTTTTAACAACCCATTGGTTTATTGTTTATCGATCTTTTGCATTTTGTCTATTTTTTAAATTTATTATTTATTTGGATTTTAAAAATTTCTTTACTCTTGGGACTTCTTGGTTCAGAGTTCAGGAAGCATACTTTGTGGTGCTCAGGGGGAAACTTATGTGGTTTTGAGTATAGAATCTGAGCTAACCCTGTGCAAGGCAATCAGCTAAATCTATGTACTATCTCTCTATCCCAAGAGTTTATTTTTAGAACGATTAAAGAAGATTGAGAAACTCTTAGCTAAACTCTAGAGGAAAATATAAAAAGAGAGAAAACCCACATCAATGAATCAGGAATTAAAGAGGCAATATTATATAGGTTTCTCAGAAATAACAAACACTGTGAGTAATTACTATGACCAACTTTATGTCCATAAGCTTTAGAACCTGAAAAAAGGTGATATATTTTTCAAATTATAAAACCTCTGAAGAATGAATTATCAAGAAGGAAAAGACGATAAAGGATGCTTCAAGAGTAAAGAAATTAAAACAGTTATTAAAACTCTACCAAAGAAAGAAATACGTGCTTTGACAAGGTTATTTGATGTATTCTAACAAGCTTTCAAAAAACACTCACTGCCTATAATACTCAAAATCTTCTAAACAAATAAATATAAATTTTTCCTAATGGCTTCTGTAAAGTGAAAATTGCTCAAATATGAAAAATAGACGTACATATGATTAAAAATAAAAGTACAAACTGATAATTCTGATAACTCATTATCCAATGGTCCTCAACAAATTATTAACATACTATAAATACAATAATATGTCAAAATCATCATACTCTATGATCAAATGGGATTTATTCCCATATGCAAGGATATCTCAATATATGCAAATCAATTAATATAATATACCATATCAACAAAAGTAAGATTAAAATAATACTATCATAAGATTACCTGAAGAGAAGCTTTGATACCATTCCTCACACATTCATGATAAAAAAAATGCCTTCAACAAAAAGGGTAGAAAAGAAACATAAGTCAAGAATATAATTGCCATTTACAATGAACCAAAAGTCTGTATCATATATAAAATGGTGGAAAACTGAAAGCTTTCCCTCTGAAGTCAGGGATAAGCAAGGACACCCAATCTCCCTGTTTACACTTCGGATTATTTTGAAGATGTCAGCACAGCATTAAGGGATGTAAAATTATCCAATGTGACCCAAATTGGAAAAGAAGTAATCACTATTTGCTGGTGATATTGGAATATAAATAGAGAAACAAAGTCTCACTAGCATTTTTATAGAAATAGCAATTAGTACATCAAGGTAGCATGGTATACAATTAACACAAAAATATGCATTTACATATGTAAATAGTGAATTAAAAAGAAATTTTATAAAAGACTCATTTAAAATAGTGTTCCAAACTATCAAGTACCTAAGAATAAACAAAGGATGTGAAAGACAAATAGAAAAATAAATTCAGTACAGAAAAAAATAGAAAAGAATACCAGGAGATGGTAAAATATTTCATCAACAAAGACTGAAAGAAATAACATTTTGAGAGTAACTATTTTACTCAAAGTACCATACGGATCCCATGTAATCCCATATAAAAATTCAATGACATTTTTCATAAAAATAACTCGAAAAATTGCACCGAAATTTATAGGAATCATAAAAGTATCAGAATTGTTTTAACCATTCAGGCAATTTGCTACTTAAGCAAAGAAGGGACCCATGGAATTTCCTTACATTAGAGAGAATGATATATATCTAAAAGAATGGCAACAACCAGTGTGAGTGATGTTTTAATAAATAAGTCCCTTTCACTATTAGTGATACCATCACTTGGTTCAATCTCTATGAAACGAATTATGAAGATTTCTCAAAAAAGTACAACTATAACTTCCATGTAAGTCAGCAATTAAACGTCATGGCATCTACACCAAACCACAAAACCAATAGTTTGAAAAGATACATACACACTTATGTTCATTTCAGTGTTTAGTACAATAGTTAGGCTATGGAAGCAACACAAATGTCAAATTATAAATGAATGGATAAAGAGCTTACAGTATATAAACGACATGGAATCATGTACAGCTTTAAGAAAAGATAAATCACAGAAACAGGAAGTGGAGTTTTGCCACATCCGGCCTCTTCTCTGGCGCATGCGCACAGCACCACAGGGCCCGTGACTTCCGGTGTTGCCCAAGATGGCGGCGCGGGGCTGAATCTGCCGCCATTGACAGAAGTGCCACCACTGTTGTCACCTTCCTGAGGGCTCAGGAGACCTTGAACGTTTCTGTCGGCTTCGGCCATGTCTGAGCCTAGCAAAAAACGCACTGCTGACAGTGGGGTCTCCGAATCCCCAGAGAAGTTGAGCCGTGAAGAAATGACCACACCCACCCTCAGACAGCCCATTTATCTCAGAGGAATCTCCACCACTGAGGAGTTGGACTTACAGGTTCTACCGTTCAAAAACCAGAAACTAGCAGACTGTTTGGAGCAGCGAAAAACTTGTGAAGATGAACTGCGAGAACGAATTAAGAAACTGGAGAAGCGACAAGCTGCGGATGATGCCATGCTCCTCACTGTTAACCGCTATTGGGCCCAGCTAGCTGAAACTGTGGAAACCCTTCTCCAACGCCTTGAAAACCAGGGGGTACTGGGGAAGCAGGAGGGGGTGACACCTGACGAAACTCTGCTCTCGGAGCCAGGGACCTCAGAATTGAGGGCTCCCCAGTCAGTGCAGCTGCAATCCCCGATCAGAGAGTCAGCATTGGCTTTTGTGGTGGCCTTGGGCGCCAGCAGTAAAGAGGAGGTAGAGCTGCAGGGCCGTATGGAATTCTCCAAGGCAGCCGTGTCTCGTCTTGTAAAGGCCTCAGACTTCTTGCAGCGCCAGGTGGGGGAGCTGTGTGAGCGAGTATGCAGCCGAGAAGACAGCGGGCTTCTTGGTGAGAGGGCTCAGACACGCACCAGTGATCTGGGCCGTGAGAACCAACGACTACAGGACTTGGCCACCCAGCTACATGAGAAGTACCACCGCATCTCGTTGGAATACTCTGAGCTCCAGGACAAGGTGACGTCATCCGAAACAAAGGCGCGGGAGTTGGAGACCACTGTAGATGACCTGCAGTGGGACACTGAGAAGCTACGCAAACGCGAGCAGAAGCTCAATAAGAACCTGGCAGAGGCCTTGAGTCAGCTCGACCCTGGCTACAGTGTGTCTGGGAGTTCCTCAAGCTTCAACTTGCAGAAGTTTGAGACGCTGATGGCAGAGTTGAAAGAAAACCAGGAATTGGCCAACAGCCGCTTGGCAGAGCTGGAGACATTGCAAGCCGAATTCTATGAGGCTGTGGGGACTAATGAGCGCCTCAAGGTGGCCCTGCAAACCCTTCCCATGGAGATGGTTCGGGAGACAGGAGAGTACCAAATGCTGCAGGCCCAGTTCTCATTTCTCTACCATGAGTCTCTTCAAGTAAGGACCCAGCTGGATGAAGCCCGGGATCTGCTGCTGACCACCAATAATTCCCACCAGCAGTACATCCAGCACATGGAGAGTAATGAGGTGGGGATGCAGATAAACCTGCGCACAGAGGTTTTCCACTTGGAGGATACAGTGGCTCGGGTACGCAAGGAGTATGAGACGCTGCGCTTGGAGTTTGAGCAGAACCAAGCAGCCAATGAGCAGGTAGAGCCCATTAACCGGGAGATGCGTCAGCTGACTCGCAGCGTCCAAATCCATAATGAACAGCTGAAGAAGGATGTCCAGCGCTACAAGCGGAAGCTGCGAGACATACATGCTGAGATCAACAAACGCCAGGCCCGGTCCAGTGGTTCTTCCCATTCCATCTCCGGTGAGGTTCCTGCAGGTGACTCTAACCTCAGTACCCCAGAGCCAGGAAAAGAAGAGGGTGGGCCAGGCCCAGTGGGTACCACAGACAACAGGAAGGAATTGGTGGCCATGCCTGTCACTGGCACATCATCTGTGAAGGAGGAGGAGATGCCCCCTGCTGATGAAAAACCCCAACCTGTCACCCCTGAGCGCCAGGGCCTGTCCTCCCAGCCTCAGAAAACTGAAGCTGGGCCCAGCCAGGAGTTTCGGGGCCAGAAAGGGCCCAGCCTGGGAGCCCAATCCACATCACCAGCCTTCTCACGAGCTGAACAGGAAAAGGCCAAGGTGAAGGAGACCAAGAAGAAGACTTCAGAACTCCTCAAAGGCCTCCGAGCAGACCTCAAGAAAGTTCAGGAAAGTCAGAAAGAGATGAAACTGTTGCTTGACATGCACAAATTGGCTCCCAAGGAGCATCGGGATAATTCGCAGCTCATGGCAGATGAAAACAAGATCAAGGCTGAGGTGGATCAACTGCGGGGCCATGTCGAGGAGCTGGAGGAGAAGGATCGCAGGGAGAGTAAGAGGATCGCAGATGAACGAGCCCGGAGGTGCAACTGGCAGGCAGAGCAGATCAAATACCTGCGGAGGAAGCTGGGGTCTACCAAGCGTGAGGAAGATGCTCTCGCCTCGGAGATAGAATTGACAGGCCAGGCTTTTGAGGAGATGCAGGAGCAGAATGGGCGGCTCAAGCAGCAGTTGCAGGAGAAGGATGAAGCCAACTTCAAGCTGCTGTCAGAGAGGGGCAAGATCAACGACACCTACAAGCTGCTGTGTGAGGAGAAAAATGAGCTGGGAGAGCAGGTTTTGAGCCTCAAGTCCCAAGTGCATGCCCAGCTGTTGACTATGCAGACACTGGAGCATAACGAGTGGATCTTGCAAGGCTGCCTTGGTAATGTGGAGAGGGAATTGATGCTTTGCAACCAGGCCCTGGAGCAAACGAAGATGAAGGCTTTGGAAACCATGCAGCTGGTCGAGAATCTGAAGGCACATCTGGAGCAAGCGCAGAAAGAGCTGCAACAGATTCAGCCTTGCCTGGAAGAGAGCAGGTTGTCTCGGGAGAAGGAGAGCTTTAACCTCAAGAGGGCACAGGAGGATATTTCACGACTGCAGCACAAGCTGGAGAAGAAGAAGAAGGTCCACGCAGAGGCTGACAAAATCCACCAGGAAGAAATCAAGGAATACAAGATGTGGCTGACCTGCCCCTGCTGTAACACCCGCAAGAAGGATGCAGTCCTCACCAAGTGCTTCCACGTATTCTGCTTCAAGTGCATTCGGGACTGCTATGAAGCCCGCCAGAGGAAGTGCCCCAAGTGCAACACAGCATTTGGCGCCCACGACTTCCACCGTATCTACATCAGCTAAATCTGAAAACTCTGGAAACAGTGTCCCTAGTTCCTCCTACTTCCTGGCCCTCCATCCTGGACCCTGTGAACCCTGTCCTCCCCATCCCCACCTACTTGGTACAGGAGCTCTTTTGCATGCTTTTGGTAGTGGATTCAGCCAGGCCCAGTTAACCTTTTCCTGGTGTGGCCCCCACCCTGCAGAAAGGTTGGCTGTAAGAGACTCAGAACACTCAAATGAGCCTCCTGGGAACGGACCCAAACCCTTCTACTCTACACCAAGACCTAGTCCTAGGGGGGGATTCCCCAGATTTTGACCACCCCCCCCAACACACAAAATAAAACTGACTTACAAACTCACGAGGAGGACCACGGGTGAACTGGCTCCTTGTGCCTGTCTGAAATGGAGTTTCATGGCTCAGGCAAATGTTCTTCATCCCAGATAGGGCTACCCTCCCATGGGGGTTCCCCTCCACGCAATGGGAACCTAGAATGCTTAGAGTTGAAAGAAGTGCCCATTGGTAGAAGCGCCATCCTCTCTCTGGACAGCTCTTGTTGTTGCAGACACTTGCTCTCTCATCTTAGGAGTGTCAGTCCAGGAATGAGTTTGTTGGAGTCATGTCCCTCCCAGTTCCTCTCTCAAGCCCATTTGCCCTCCTGGTGAATGCCAGTATGCCACCATGTCCCTGTCCCTGATTCCTTTCATTCTAGTGACTTTAACTGATTGGAGGCAGAGCTTCCCAGAAGGGGAAGACATAGACAAGTGCTGGGCTAACTTCCGGTTATTCCAGGTAGGAAAGCTTCATCTAATGCCCTGTGACAAGCATGTACTGGTGGAGTTTCCTGTGCAGGTCTGCCCAGGCCAACTCTGGACTGTGGAAATTAAGGGTTAAGGAATAGAATTAAACAATGATAGACCTATGTCTCTGGAATACAAAGCCAATTAACAGTAGGGATATGGTTAGGATTAATGAATATAAGAGTAGAGGAGACATAAGAGTAGTGGTGGAGGGGATTAATATTTTGGTAGTGGGTAAAGGGAGTGAAGTAACATTCTACCTTAATACCATATACTTTAAAAATATTGTAAGCATCTTATATAAACTTCAATAAAATTTTTTAAAAAGCACTAAAATAATATTGGCAAGTAGAAATTTTTTAATCCCCTCTAACCTATAAAATATTTTATCTAAGGAGAACACATGACTTATCTAATGAGTAACAATTGGCAGAGGTCATATATCAACTGGTTTGATTTTTTTATTTTAACGTATTCATTACAATGGTACTAGAGACACATAATTTATTGTAGAGAAATTTTAGTATCTGCTATTATCTGAAGTTCCTGCTACACAGAATATTAATCTTGGACGATTCCCTAGATTTTTCAGGAAAAAAATCTTAATAGGTGATGTTCAGCTTCAAGTGCAGAATAATTGCTACAAAAATAAAGGTAAATTAAATCCTAATGGACAATTACCTTGATAAACAGAATGTCCACTAAATTTTAGTAAATTAGTATATCCACCTATTCAAAGAAAATGGATAATATTATATTTCATTCATAGGAATATAAAGTTTGAAAGGTAGACTCCAAAATTAATAGCTGAAAACACACCAAAATTATTATATGTTATATTTATAATGTATGTGCTCTTTGACATTTATTTTAAGCATTACAATTAGTACGGTATAAGAATTTCTTGGTTTTACTAATTATTATGCTATTTAGTTAATCTGTTAATTTCTTGTAGTGAGATAGTATTTTTAAGTGTATATGTTTATATATGTTTAGGGGTATAAATCTACCAAGCCACTCTACCACCAAAGAGCCATTATCCCTCCAACTTGATCCACTGGGCCCTTTTTATCCCTATTTTCTTCACTTTGATAACCACAGTTCCATAGTCAGAGCCTCGGGGTTTGTTGCTTTTTTTTTAACCTCAGAATTTGTTTCATTGGCTATTTATTCCTCTGCTGTGTGTCTTTATGTAGTATAAAATTATGCATTATTTCTGTTTTATTCTGACTTACTTTGCTTTGCATGACACCTCCCAATTCCATTCACGTTGTAGTAAAATATTATTTCTTATTTTCTTCTAGCTCATTAGTATTTGATTGTGTATATGTGAAGTGATTGGGCCCCCATGGGTGACTTATATGATGTGAAGAGGAGATAAATGGTCACTTTCTCCCAATCTGGCTCTGCCACCCCAGGACCAGCTGGGAAGACTAGGACTGATAAAGTCTTCCATGAGCCCCTGTGATACATGGGCCAGAGTCTCACCAGCCCCACCAGGTGGTTGTCAAGCCACAACTGATATTCACTTGGTTTTCTCAGTACCGGAGTTTATCCCCACCATCCAATTCCTCAGGAGCCATGGACTTAGGTTGGAGAGAGAATTTGCTTTTTGCAGGAAATGAAAAATCAGTCTTAGGGCTTACTCAGAGTTACCAAGTTCTTGTCTTGCCTCTCAGAAAAGAAATTCAGGGATAGATGTGTAGTGAAGTAAAAACAGATTTTATTTAGAGGATTTTAGGAAGGGGAAGAAGGGGGATCAGAGAGAGAGAGAGAAAGAGAGAGAATTATATGCTCAAGAGAGAATACTGGCTTCTCCAAAGGTAGAGAGAGCCCCAGTATACATCTCAAGAAGGGAGATGTAGGTGACAAATGTGCTTGGACCCCATATATGCTTGCTCACACGGGTACAAGCAGAACATAACTTGGGCAGTATATGTGCACCTTTCCTTTGTTCAAGGTGGCTTTTATAGGGTTTTCCCTAGTATCCCATTTGGGGCTTTCTACCCAGGTAGAGTCAGTTGCTAGTGTGGTTGGCAAGAGGATTGAGTTGGGAGTGGTCGATGGCCTTTTAAATTCCTTTCCTGGCCTTTTATTCCTGCTGGAGCTTCTCTGAGAGGAGGGTCCAGCCTTCTTTGGGTGTGTTAGTGGCGTCAGGTGAGGGTCTTATCAGACTTTAATTCCTGTACTTCCAGCCTTTGTGTCAATAGTTTCATTACATCCTAGGAATTCCACTGCCATCAGGAACCTTCCCTGTCCGCTTGCATACATATTATGTACCACATCTTTACATACACATCTGTTTATGAACAGTTGGAATATTTATAGATCTTGGTTGTTGGAAATGGTGCTAATTGAATGTGCATTTGCGCATATCTTTTTAAGTGTTTTTGTTTTCTTGGAATTGATACCAAGATGTGGCATTCACTGGATTATGTCAGTTTTATTTAGTTTCCTAAAATTCTGAATGAATTTATATCCCATGAACAGTGAATGAGCATTACATTTTCTCCACTCCAACAGCACTTATTGTTTGTGGCCTTTTTGACATTGTTCATACTCACTGATGTAAGATAGATTTTCATTGTTGTTTTCTTTTAGAGTTGCCTGATAAACAGTGATGAAGAACATGTGCAAATATGCCTAATGGCTTTCTGTGTCTTCTTTGGGCAAGTCTCTGATAACCTTCACTCCCAATTTATAAAAATGTTAGTGTTTGTTCTTTATTGAATGTTGTGGATACTTGTATAACCTGGGTATCACCTAGAACTTTCTTATTTTATGCAGCATATGAAAATATACTTTTTTCCAATCACCAGACTTGTCTTTCCGTTAGAGAAAGACAGTTAAAGATGAGAGAACATGTTTAGTTAAAGCATTATCATCCTTGTAATGTTATATGGGTTAACAATAGCATATAATGCCCATTTTATTTATTTTTTAATGTAGGAGTATTGCTATTTATTCAGCCACTACTTTGCTGATTGAATTGGGCATGAACTCCACCTTGCTTTTTTTTCCATTTTTTATAATTCTATTTATCGAATCACCATGAGAGCAGTTACAAATCTTTCAGGTTTAAGTCTCAGTCATACAAGGAAACACCCGTACTATCAGCAGTGCCTATTATCCACCCCAAAAAATCCCAGTATACCCTCATCCCACACCCTCCCCCTACCTGTGGGGCAGATAATTTCCATATTACTCTCTCTCTACTTTGATTACATTCAATATTTTGACACCAGACCCACCATTATTATTTAGGATTTTACCCCAACACTCAAATCTGCTGAAAAGGCAACAGTAGACAATTTGTTTTCTATTGCTGGTTATGATAACATGATGTCGTGTGGCTGCAGTACTGGCCACGCAATTTTGGAATTCCCAAGTTTTAATAATTAAATCTAGAGGGATATCTGCCAAAACCTGTTGGTTGCGAGATTTGTTCCTGAGTCTCTGGGATCATGGCCGTTAAACACCTTGATCAGGAGCCAGAAAGGCCGTTCATGGGCTGCAACTGGGGTCTCGTTGGGATGGGGAAGAAAGGGCCAGCTCCATCCCCATCCCGTGAGGCCCTGCGTGTCTCATCACAGAGGCCCAAACATGACTGCCCAATGGCCTCTAGAGAATGGCGGCCACCGAGCCGCCTAGGCGGAGCAGGCAGAGGGCAACACCTTTTCCCCCCTATGACGGCCCAGCAACAGTAACTTACTGCGGGGTCCAGATGCATTTCTGCCAAAAGCACTGGGTTTCGAGATTTGTTTCTGAGTCTCTGGGATCATGGCCGATAAGCAACTTGATCAGGAGCCAGAGAGGCCATTTGTGGGCGGCGACCCGTGGTCTCGTTAGGGGTGGGGAGGAAATGGCCAGCTGCTTCCCCATCCTGTGAGGCCCTGAGTGTCTCGTCACTGCGGGCCCAAACCTGACTGTCTAATGGCCTCTGGAGAATGGCAGCCACCAAGTTGACTAGGGGAAACAGGCAGAGGAACAGCACCCTTTTACCTCTGGGGCGGCCTGGTTACAGTAACCTACTGCGGGTCCAGATGAATTTCTGCCAAAAGCCCTTGAGTTCCAAGATTTGTCTCTGAATCTCTGGGACCATGGCCATTAATCAGCTTGATCAAGAGCCAGAGAAGCAATTTGTGCACGGCGACTCGGATCTCATTAGGACAGGGAGGAAAGGGCCGGCTCCATCCCCCTCCTCTGAGGCCCCACATGTCTCG